TTAAAGTTAAAAGCTACAATTAATGGCATGGTAACATATTGGATATCTCAATTCTATCGACTAGGTGTATGGTGTCAAATTAGCACTAAATACCATTTTTTTCTTAAAAAACGAGAGCTACACATTTTTTCTTTCCACAACAAAGTTACAACAAAAACACTACAATTAATGCCGTAGTTAACTTTTCCAAATTCGAAAAGTGTAGTGCTAACTTGACACACGTAATGAAAAGGCAACATTTGTTGTAGAAAAGAAAACGTCATTAGCCATACTGCAGTTTATAATTATGTTCTTAAATGCTCAAACGTGAAAGTTTAAGTTATTGTATTGAAAATTGTATACATACCTTCATTGCTGGTATAATCTAATGGAAGAGGCAAATGATTGCTGGATTTCTTATCAAGGTCATCTTGGTTCTTTGAACGTAAAAACAGGACTGTAGCAACAATAACCAATACTAATATGAATACAACAGCAACAGTGGCGCCAGCAACAATGCGCATATGGATAGAATCCTCATAACCTAATAAAACCAAAATGTATATTTTTATAACCAGAATTTTCCGCTTTATTACCTAAACTGACACCCTGGTGTGTTTGCGCATAAACTATATTACTGTAAGTACCATAACCGTTCAGTGTTTTGCAGCGCACCTGAAACCCATATTCTGTATTTTCATTCAATCCTTCAATGTGTGCTTTTGTGTCCTTGGTGTTTAGAGCAGTTTTATTTATTGCATCCAATTCTGGTTTGGGAAACCAGCGCACCTCATAAAATTCAATAGGAGAATCGCTTTGCACGGGTTTGTCCCAAACGAGATCGACTTCTTTACTTGTTGTTGAAACAACGCGAACGTTGAACACAGTCGAAAGAATAGCGGATTCTGTTGTGAATATGATTTCGGCATACTCCGTTTTTATTTGGCTTAAATCGTAAGGTTGGCTGTTAGCAAGACTGCCCGACGATTTTAAATTATTTGCAAGTGCATTTTCGGAAAATACTTCACTATAACCCATATTTATGGAATTATTGTGCTGATCAAAAGATTCATTGCCGTTATTGTCAGAGTCCACTAAATATGAAATTCCGTTCAATGAATGAATTTGGATGGTGTATGTTGTTACGGGTTCTAAATTCGTTAAAGTTAATTTTGTTTCATTAAACGTGTCTGATGCTGGATTGTACACAACATTCGATGAACACGAAAGACATCGTACTTTGTAAACAACGTCACTGCGATATTTATTTAGTTTAACATGAGGTGAAGATTCAGAAACTTCTTTCGTGGGAGTATTCCAAGATAGAATTGCACTCGTTTGATCAACAAATAACAGTGTGAGATTTGTGGGAGGTCCAGGCGGTTTATAACAAGGCATATGCTTTCCATCGTATGGATGTCGATAGAAACCAGGAAGGCATTTACAAAACCCTGAAGCTGATTTTGGGGCATTGGAGTTGGAAGGGCATGGCACACATATATTAACTTCCTTGGAGCGAAATTTTCCAATAGGACATTCTAAAAATTAATCAAGAAAATATTTTATTAAAGCAGCACGAATAACAAAATAAAAAAAAACGGTATAAGAATGAGAACGTTGCCAAAAATAAAAAAAAGTATATCCCTCGATAGAGGTTTTTGATACAACTATATATTTTTTTTTTGGGAAATGAAAACTACAGTAGTTACGAAAGGTCAAAGGGCAAATGCAGCGCTTTTTTTTCAAATCCAAATATCTCGAAAACCATCGCACGGATTCTATAAATTTTGATGTCATTCAATACGAAATACATATGAATCGCTTTAATTAGATATATAAATGTTAAACATCTTCTAAAGTTTTAACAACAATTCAATTTATGTAAAAAACAGTATAAACAATTTTAAACGAACGCATTTTTCTTTAAAACTTGGCTTATTAATCACATATTTAAATGTTATAATTAAATAGCACGTGAATAAAGCTTTCATTTGATATACAACATGTTGTGTTCAGTCCTCGCCAATCGGAGTATTTTAATAAAATAAACCCGGTCGGTCCGACTTCGGCTAAGCTGTTCAGAGTATTTATTCTCGGAACTCCTTTACGACACTGGTCATATTCCGCCCCCCTTCTCCGGCAACACAGAAAGGAGAGTTTTACCTAATAAGGGTTAGAATCCCTAAGTACGGCCGAAAACCGCCTAACCAGAAAAGAATTATGTGCAAGAATTCTGTGGATGCCGTGACCGGAGTTATATGCACAATAATTCTAATATACCTTTGACCAAAAAGAGGGTCTTCCGCCCCCCTTCGACAGCAACACAGAATGGAGAATTCTACTTAGTAAGGCTTATAATCCCTAAGTGCACCCGAAGGTCGCCTACGCAGAAAAGAGTTACATACAAAAATACATACAGAAATCCGGAAGAAATGTAATATACCTTTGACAAAAGAAGAGGGGTTACAGCCCTCCTCGCCGGCAACACAGAAAAGAGAATTCTAGTTAGTAAGGGTTATAATCCCTAAGCGCGGTCGAAAGCCGCCTACGCAGAAAGTTTTGCGCAAAAATACTGTGGTATTGGTCCGACCAGGGTTTTTTTTTTTAAATACTCTGTATAGCGACAACTGTAGACAACATGTTGTGTATCGTATGAAATCTTGATTCATGTGTTATTTAATTATAAGATTCTTAAATGTAATTAACAAGGCAACTTTTAATGAAAAATGTGTTCGTTTAAAGTTCTTTGTAATTTTTTTTACATAGGATTTTTGCTAAAACTTCGGAAGATATTCATATATAGTGGTGTAGTGGTTAGCAGAGCGCGCTACCACTCCGCAGCGCCCGTGTTCAAGCCATGGTCAAAGCAATATCGGAAAAAAATATATAGAAACAAGTACGAAAGTCTAAGTTCGGGCGGAACCGAACATTAAATACCCGGCGCAAGTATTAAATATATGTTTTCCACCTTTCCGAAAGCTACCGCTACATGATAAGCGGTAAAGTAAGTAAACTAGCATCCTTAAATTTCGAAATATTGAAATTTAAAGCATTTTTGAAATTTACCGTTACATGAAAAGCGGCCGTAATTTTAGTCTGATTTCAACAAATTACTAGAACGGTTAACGAGATACATAGATGTGATCATAAGTGGGCGGTGCCACGCCCATTTTCCAAAATTTTATCATAAACGTATTTCCTGGTAAAGAATTGTTGCAACCATCAATTTTAAATAAATGTGGGATTAGGTCCTAGTACGGTAAGACGGCAACACCGACGCTAG